CGAAGGTCAGCACGAGGCCTGCAGCCAACCTTAGTGCTAGACTCGTCAAACCTAAGGACAGGTTGGGGGTGAAGGAGAAGGCTGGGCTGGTCTATCAGTATAAGTGTCAGTGCGGAAAAATTTATGTAGGAGAAACCGGGAGAAAGCTAAGGACGAGGGAATCGGAACACAAACGAGCTATAGTAAACGGAAACCGGGATCACTCAGGGATATCTAAACATGTGCTAGAGACAGGGCACTCTATCAAATGGGACGAAGTTAAAATTTTGGATTATGAAACGAACTGGGGTAAACGAAAGGTGAAGGAGGGTTTTTACATTTCCAGGGTAGATAGACACAATAGCATTAACATCTTACCTGGGTGGGAGGTGCCTGATATGTACCGGGCACTACGTGTGTAAGGCGCTTTTCGATGAGGCTGAGTGAGCTGTCAAAAATAGGTACACTTGCTTTTGGATTGTTGAAAATTGTTTTGTTGTATAGGCGTGTGGCTATCAGAGCGAATTTATGCAAGCTTGTGCGCCTGCGAGTATGTAACGATTACGATCCTATAACGATTACCATCGATTAATGTGTTATCACCCCGATTGTGCGAACTCGATTGTTACTCGAGTGTTTTATTACGAACTCGATTGTTACTCGATTAATATGTCATGACCCCGATTGTGCGAACTCGATTGTTACGACCACGGATCACGAACTCGATTGTTACGACCACGGATCACGATTAATGTCGAATGTTTTATTACGGATGTTACGGACGATGGCGACTTAATTATGTGTTATTATTTGTTATCATGTATCAAACTGTTTTGTGCATCTATGCTTGAGACGTACCGTTACAACTTTTCCTCGTGGCGGTTTACTTTTTGGTAGACATGTTTGAAACGTATTGTCTTGTGTTCTAATGCATTTAAAAAGCAGGCTGATGAAGGAGGCAGCAGCCCCCGAAAGCTACCGATCATATACATATTACTGGTGTCGAATAATTCGTTTCTGAGCATCGGGGCCCTGTTTTTGTGTGCGCTAAGAGCTCCCTTTATCATCTGTTTGTGCGCCCACAACGGAGCAGGGGCGACGAGCGTGCCCCAGATTAGGCGTCCGATACGGCTGCGGCCTGCGACAGTGCGCCGGGCGCATACGGCACACACACACAGCGGTCGGTACAGGTCGGACGCATACGGCACACACAGCGGTCGGTACCGCGCCGGGCGCATACGGAACATACAGCAGTCTGTACAGCTCGGACGCATACGGCACACACAGCGGTCGGTACTGCGGTCGGGCGCATACGGCACCCAAAGAGCGGCAGTCGGTACCGGTAGGTATCGCTCGCAGTTAGCCACCGCATACCGCACAAATGCTGGCGGCAGGGGCAGTGACCCGCGGGTCATCGGCGCGGCGTACGACGGACTCGGGGTCAGGCGCGCGGCGGGCGGCGGGACCATGCGACATTATTGGTGGCCTGCGTCGGACCCGGACCGATCGGCATCGGTCATAGCCGAGGGAAGCTTCTTGGCTAGTATTCATTATTGACTTTTGCACAAACGGCAGTTAGGTACTGCTGGGAGACTGTAAATGCCGATGCGGTGGTTCGTGCTAGAAACCTCGAATTCCTAAGTTCAAAATTATAACTTTTTTGCCCTAGCAAAATTGAGACATTCCTGAATCCTTCTTTCTCCCTGATCGTGTATACCTTGTTTTGAGATGCGTTGCTAATATACATGGAGCTTAAGTTTTCACCCCTATAGGGACAAGATAGTGTCCTTAGCGTGCTTTTGATGAGCACGCAGACTCGGCTTGCCGAGACGTTTTTGTTTGTAGAGTCGACACTCGACAGACGACCTTTGGCATCTCTCGATAGCGACTTAGCGAGTGGCTGGCTGGCTGGCTGGCCCAGTGAGCTGAGTTCCTTCATCAAAACTATATCCAGTGCTCCTCCTGCACTCTGCAGTCTCATGGAAAAGCCACGTCATTAAACAATATTTTCTAATTCAGAAACAACATTGCCTTTCTGCCGCAATTATTACGAGTCAATGCTGTCAGCAATTTTTGCCGGGAAGAATCCAGAAAAACTGTCTTCTCCACATCTACATACCCAGAATGTACAGGGTGTCTCAAAAGTTCGCTTACAGGTACCAGCCATGCTTTTTTGTCAATAATTCTGAATCAACATGAAATTAACAGTCGAAATTTTGCATGGGCATTGGTAACAACCTTCCTCAAGCAGCTTCATTGTTTTCAAGCGCATTCGACCCTTCATGAGCTCACAAAAAGGGTTCACCTCTGACCATGGATCAGGCATGAAAATGGAGGTCGCATACTCGGGTCGGCTGAGAAACTCTCTGCTTCACGAGTAATGGGAATGGTTAGGTCGGAAATGACACATGGCAAAGTGTCGGCGAGGATGAGTACAACATGATGGTCATCTAATAAAAACGGTGGCTAAAATTTTTGAAGGACAAAACCATGCGAGACTAAGTGCGCTTTGAACGACCCTTGTACCGCAGCAGACTCGTGCTCCGGAAAGCAGCTGAAAATGCAGTCCTAACTATTGAAAACTGACTAGAAGCTCACAGACAGAGGTTACCCAGTTTCAAAAATTGCAGGTCATCATAAAATAAAGACAAAATATCATTTAAAATTGTTTATAATATCTATAACGCTAAATTTTGAGGGAAAATAATGCGAAAATCGTCAATGCCGAGGACAAGTGACCCTCCAAAAGTGTCAATTAATGTAAAGTTTTATCTAACGAAGTTTCAAGAGGCAGATCTGGAGCAAATAGCTTTCTTTTACACACAAAATCCGGACAAAACCGCACGATGGACAGGTTTTGGCCGTTTACAAAGCAGAACCTCTCCTGAGGAAAACACTCCGGAACCCAGCGAAGGTCTTGGCATTGGGAATGACGAGCGTTCGGGATTTGCAACTTTTGCAAAATGTGTCTAAGAAACAGATGGCCGACACATTCTGCTACGATATGCTGCGAAAAATTTGCCCCTGGCACTTCCCATTTGTTCAGGAATGGGGCTGTTTTGAAAAGGAAAATGGTGCTTGGGAGGTCGGCGCCAGTCATTCATGAAGGAGTTAGCGCCAGAGAAGACCTACAAAATACTCACGGATGGTGTCGATGCAAGCTATCGGCTTTCAGGGAGAAGCGGATGTTGCCGGGGAGCTCGTCAAACCTAAATCCGACGCAGAAACTGCGGGGGATTCCCCTACAAGAGCTTGAAAGCTGGTAACCTTTTATCAGCCTCCGGCAGCTGACGGAGTGACGAAAATCGGTATGGGCAAATATTTTTGGAGATACAGCAAAGGGTTTGGTTTCCAACCTTCCGAATCAGTTGTCAAAGCATGCATATTTGTCTAGTGTACACACGGACACCAAAACCTTAGATTTTTGGCCGGTTCTTATATGCTTTATTGACATGGGAAATGTGTAAGCGAACTTTTGAGACACCCTGTACATACCCAGACCCAGGCTTTTTTTTACCGTCTAGCTCAGCTCGCCTGGGTGGGCCGAAGGACGGTGGCCGCTGTCGCCGTCCCAGCGCCGACCACTCGAGGCGACCGGGGTCCAACCTTCGACTCAGGGGTCGGAGGTCGAGCAGATGCGCCGCGGAAGCACTCGCGGCGCGCCTGGTCACATGCTCGGTCAGCAGCGGCCGGCCCGGTCGCCCGGCGATATGTTTTTACTGGGTGACGAGACGCAGGACGCAGCAGATGCGCCGAGCTGAGACGTCACGCACTGGCCTGTCACTGCTGTTATTGCTGTTATGCCGGGTTTTATATGGACTTAGCTCAGTGCAAGCTTCAACCAAGATCGTTAGACATAGTAAATAGCAGAATGGCTTTTGTGGGACACCAAATTCGCTTATTACTTTTAAGCCGGGATTATAAATGTTTCGCTGGCCATAAATATTGACTAATTCAAGCCTCGATAATGCAAAGTAGTTTTGTAATCAATGGCATAGCGTAGCATCGTGCCATTCATGAATATGTAGTGATTCTGATGTTTGTGCCCGGGTTTGCGTACGTTTCACTATACATACATAGAATGGCATGATATAGTGAATGTAGAAAAGGGGATGTGCCGATTGGTTCTGAATGAAGCATATACCTAGGTACTTCAGGCTAGCGCCAATGGCTGATGCAGGTTGGCTAGAATGTCCTCAAACCCCAGTGTCATCCATCTATCTTATCATATATCTTTTGGCGCAGACACCTATCCTCATCCAGCTGAGTTAGGTCTGGAGTTGCGTTCTTTTATTGGGCGTCTGGATTGAAAATCCCCGAACCTTTCAGAACCGTGTGCCAATAGATGAGGACTTATTGCATTCTGGAATGTTCAATGAAGCTATATGGGCGGTGATATTGAGCTCGTGTATAAAAGCTCAGTGGTTGGTGTAGCTCCGCAACCGAAGGGTCTTTGCTGATCTTGTCTGTATTACAGTATTGATTATCTCCCGTTTATGCAAGTCGGCGTGTTATTACTTTGTCTTCAGCCACGTGAAAAGATTGTTTGCTGTTACCAAAAGTTCTGAATACCAAGTCAGTTGGTATTATCTTAAGTCATTAATTGAGTGAATGTATCTCGCTCTCGTCCTCTCTCCCTCTCCTCCCGCCCCTACCCCTCCCACTCCCTCCCTCCTTCACTTATCTTATGCCGCCTGTCCAGTGTCCAGTGCCCGGGTCGTGCCTGTAGTTCTCACTCCCGCTATGTCTTGTGGTGTCTCGGTCTGTCCGCAGGGGCCACATCCACTTCCACCTGTATGGCGGCGAGCTGCAGTGATGATCACCCTGTCTGTGTCTGAATATGTCCCCGTCTGTCTGTCTACTGTGCGTGTCTGACTGTGTCCCCGTCTGTCTGTCTGCTGTTCGTGTCTGACTGTGTCCCCGTCTGTCTCTCCTCGTCAGGGGTCACGTCCACTTCCACCTCTCTGGCGGTGAGCTGCAGTCGTGCCCTGCCTCTGACCGGTGTCTCTGTCTCTCCCCAGGGGCCACATCCACTTCCACCTGTCTGGCGGTGAGCTGCAGGCCGTGTTTGTGGATCCCGAGGAGGCCGAGTTCATCACTAATGTGCGCCGCGGCGTCCTCAACACGCTGCGGGTCAGCCGGGGTCTGTTCAACCGACCCGGAAAGGTCAGTACGGAGCCGGCCCTCGGGAGGCTGGGAGAGATTGGGACTAAATGTTTTTGACTGTTTTTCGCCTCCATAAGATGCCGACTTGCATACCGATCTGCCTAGTTATGCGAATACTGAGGCAGGCACGGGAACAAACAGAATCGGGATTATGTGTGCGGCAAATCTGTTACATAACGTTGTGATCCAATGAGTCTATCTTCCCCTTGGGTGTGCTGGATAATCTGCATGCAGGATACTTCTTGTGCTGCCGCTATTCAATAGGACATGTCATACATCCGGTACCGACGGTGGCAGCATTTCTGAGCGGCCGGTTTGATTTGTATTCGTGACCGGACGGCGACGGCAGCGGGGCCCGAGTGGCTGGGTGTCCCTCAGGAGGTCTGCGCTCTGATCCGGCCGCCGCTCGGGTCGCCAGAGGTCACCGGTGTCAGACTGACTCGGAAGGCATTGTCCGGACTCGGGCACCTCAGGGCTCAGATGGAGCCGGCTGGGGGCTGTGCAGTGGGCACTGGGCATACAGCCGCCGCGGCTGGCCGGTCCTTGGGAGGGATATGGACCGCGCCAGAACCGGCCATCGGACAGAAATTTGAATATTATTGGACTGGAGCTGTTGCTGGCATTCTGTGACAATAGCCGACCCATCTGTAATACCTTAGGTCCGTCTGTGTGTGCGACTAGTCTTATTAGAGACATTCTGTATTCTGTATTCTGTAAATACATCAAACTTAGTGTTACTTAGTTTCGTGGTTACGCGATTCTTATGCTCTCTCTCCCTCCCTCCCTCCTTCCCTCCCTCCCTCTCCCTCTCTCTCTCTCTCTCTCTCTCTCTCTCTCTCTCTCTCTCTCTCTCTCTCTCTCTCTCTCGCTCCCCCTCCCCCTCCCCTCCCCTCCCCTCCCCTCCCCTCCCCTCCCCTCCCTCCCTCCCTCCCTCTCTGTTTCTCTGTCTCTCTTCCTCTCCCTCCCTCTCTCCCTCTTCCCCTCCAGTTTTTACCGTCATGCCTCGGACCCTGTACCCGCGGCCTGCCGATCCCCGACTGCTGACTGTCAGCAGCTGAGTCCGCCCGGCCGTCCGGTGGACTTTTTCCCCGCCCAGTTCGCTGTCGTCAATTGACATTTCCGCCGCGTGGTCGTCAGTTGCAGGGGCCCCTCTACCTTCCCTCCCTTCCACCCCCCCCCCCCTCACTCGTCCGCCGGCTTGGTGGCCCGTTATGGCGTCTATAACGTCAGGTTATGTCAGTCGTGACGGGTTCAGGTCGATGACATTGCGATTTGCGAGTTGCGACTATGTGTGTAGTTGCTCACGATTTTCCGGGACCTAAGGAAGGCAGAGAAAGTAATTTTGTTTTGCAATTGCCTATTTTTTGTTAGATTCGTAATGATATTTGATATAGCCAATTCCTCACATGACCACCAATGTTCGGCTGTTCGGTCGAATCACGCTCCTGTGTTTGTCCTTTGTCCGGTGGCTCCTGGCGCCGCCTGCCCCGTCTGGCCGCTGACTAAACAATGATCTGCTGACTTGGGTCCCTCGTGACTGCGGGACGCGCTGACCGGACGCTGATCGGTGGTCAACTGTCACCGGTGCTGACCGGTCACCCCCGACTACTGCCGTCCCGCTGAGCTGATGTCCGACCGCCGACTGTCAGCGCTGAGCTGAGGGTAACCGCTGACGACATCCACCTGTTTCAGAACGTGGAGGGCGCCTGTGAACGGAATGTCAGTCGGCTGGGCTCGGACAGGTACCGCGTGGAGCGATCCAGGGGCTGCGACCCGGCGCACAACACGCCCAGCATACTCTCACCGTTCTCACCGCTGCAGTCGCTGGTGAGTTGGTGCTCTCACCGCCCCAGTGCAGTAGCGTATGAGTTGGTGCTGTCGCCGCTCTAGTCGCTAATGAGTTGGTGTTCTCGCTGCTTTAGTCTGGTGAGTTAGTGCTCCCACCGCTGTAGTCCCTGGTGAGATGTTGATTAGAGGTGGCAAAAGATGAAAATTTTGGGAACCAGACTCGAACCAGACCCGGCTGGACATTTCTGGAACCAGTCAGACCCGGTCTTAGTTGGAATCGGAACCAGTTGGACCCGTTCCCCAAAAGTCAATTAATGCAAACTACTGGTAGGTATCATTAGTTGCATCATGTAAAACAGCCTATTTCCCACTGGGAATACTCATGAGATACTGTGTGCAAAGAAACATTCACTTCATATTTTGCGGTAATGTGTAGTGTGCAAGATGTATAGTTAATGGTAGGCAGGGTTGGCATTTTTGCCGGCAAAAACTAGTTTATGCCATTTGCCGGTTTAAACCGGTTTTAACCGGCAAAAACTGGCAAAAACTGGCAAAAACTCAGAAATATCACAATGCTATGCCTAGACATGATTTTGAACAGGAAACATTTTAAGGAGAATTCGGTGAAAGCTGTATGCTTTCAAACAGAAGTGACATTGACCATTGAAATGTTTCATACCTCACTCAGAAACATTTTCATGGGCTATCCATAAGGAGCTAGTAAGATGCCTTTTGGGGGTGACAAATGAGCCAGTGCAAGGGTGACTGGGTGAGTCCTGCACAATCAGAAGTGCAAAGAGGTATCTGCCACTGATATGCGCACGGCACCGCATGACACACTACTTACCGTGGCCGCCTTGTCCCTCTCTCCCCTTACATGGAAATACATTCCGTTGTGGATGTCTACCGACATACATAGACATTTTAAGCAGGGATAAGTAATTAGGCAACTTCGGATGTTTAGTGCATCTAGGGTGATCATTTGGGAATGAGATAAAGTAGTGGCACGTGCAGATGTGTATTCAATAGCACACCAGACAAAAGACACGTCATTAGACTCATCATCGTGGGACATTTTGTACTGCACACTATTATACACCTGCAAGCCACTGTTCATCTACAGCAGGTGCTCAAAGTGGCCACCCCCTTCTGAGCGGCACAGCTCAGCCCGACGGCGTGTGTGACGCGCCATCTTTCGCAGCTGCTCTTCGTCCATGTTGCGGGCGAAGTCCTCAACCAGTTCCTTCAGCTGTTCCAGCGTTTGGGGCTCGCTGCGCACGATCTGAGCCGTCACCAATGACCAGAAACAAAAGTCCAGACAAGACAGGTCGGGACTGTACGGCGGCCATCGGTGTTCACTGTTCCGGGAGATGACGCGGCCGCCGAACTTCGAGTGGAGGAAGTCCATCACGGGAGCAGTGACGTGCGGCGGCGCGCCGTCCTGCTGGAACCAGTACTGGTGGCGCGTCGCCCGAGCCCTCACCGCAGGCCACACCACCGTCTGCAGCATCTCCAGGTAGGCGTTGCTGTTGACGGAGCCAGTGAACCAGTGAACTGGCAGGCACTTCCCATCCACCACGCCCACCCACGCCATCACCTTCTGCCCCTGGGCCTTCTTGCATGGCACGAGCTTGTTCGGATTCTCTGGCGACCAGCACACGGTGTTCTTCTTGTTTGGAGACGGATGCAGAACAAACCACTTTTCGTCACTCCAGAGTACACGCTCAAACCACTCCTCATCATGGGTTAGCCAGAATTCACAGGAGTCCATCCTGGCCATCCGCGTCATCTCCCGGAATAGTGAACACCGATGGCCGCCGTACAGTCCCGACCTGTCTTGTCTGGACTTTTGTTTCTGGTCATTGTTGACGGCTCAGATCGTGCGCAGCGAGCCCCAAACGCTGGAACAGCTGAAGGAACTGGTTGAGGACTTCGCCCGCAACATGGACGAAGAGCAGCTGCGAAAGATGGCGCGTCACACACGCCGTCGGGCTGAGCTGTGCCGCTCAGAAGGGGGTGGCCACTTTGAGCACCTGCTGTAGATGAACAGTGGCTTGCAGGTGTATAATAGTGTGCAGTACAAAATGTCCCACGATGACGAGTCTAATGACGTGTCTTTTGTCTGGTGTGCTATTGAATACACATCTGCACGTGCCACTTACTTTATCTCATTCCCAAATGATCACCCGGTATATAACAACCAGAAATGCATTTGTACATTTCAAATCCATTCCTAACTAGACAAGTTGTAGGTTTGGCCATCTGAGTTTTAGCCAGTTTTTGCCAGTTCTTGCCACAAGGGTTTCAGCCAGCCGGTTTAAACCGGTTAAAACCACTGGCAAAAACCAGTTTTTGCCACCCCCTGCCAACCCTGATGGTAGGACCCGGTTGGACCCGTCAGAAAAGTTCCAGGAACCGGTCTGGACCCATATGGGTCCAGACTGGTTCTTTGGACCGGGTCCTCGGGTCCACATTTTGCCACCTCTAATGTTGATCTCACCCAGTGCTCGAACCGCTGCAGTTAGTGATTCGTTGCTGGCAGTTCCTGGCTGCCAGTGTTTAGGTGGGCTGGTAGTCTGGTGGGTGGGGTGATACGGTAACAACCCTAGCCTGTCAGCTGGGGTGGTTAGGTAGGTAGCTTTCCGTATTTCCCTATCCTGTCTCGATGGCAATAACCGTCAACGTTGGATCATATTGGACGCCACCTGGGCCAGCTATGAGCGGGCGGCCCCTGGCGGCTGTCGGTAACACCGCTTAGCGTGGACTGCTGCCGCTGTCAACTGCGGTCTTAGCGAACTAAATAGTGTCTGTTGTTACATAAGAAACATCTCTGTGAATTCCGCATCCCATTAGCCATGAAATCTACCATGCGCAGAAAAAAAGGTCCGTGACGGGTCGTTTCAGCGGTCTCGTCCGGTGGGTTATTTGATTGTCGGGCCGTTCCGCACAGTGCGAGTCCCGCCGGCAGTTGACAGTGCGCCGTCCATCCCGCTGGTCGCTGCCGTGAATGCCAATCGCGCGGCCCGGCGTCTGTCGGTCCCCGGCCGCGGCTCACCGTATCGGTAAACAGTAAACACCACAGGGTCTGTCGCTGCCGGGACTGGAACTGCGCCGCGGGGCCGGTGGACGGCGGTCGGTGGGGGGCGCTGGAAACATGCAGCGAGGCAGGCGGGGGTCAATGTCGAGCTTGAAATGAATTGTATATATTTTTTCATTAATGGATTTGATTTAGTTCATTTTCGAGTTCAGAGGGCTGGATTTCTTATAGAATTGTACAGTTGCTTTTTGCCATGCTCATTTGTATGCGGTTACGTTATGCTCAAACATGCTTGGTTACCGATTCAAGCGATAGGAAATATTTGATTTTCCGATAGCGGTAGGCCGGACAGTCTATATCTGTACACATTGACCTTGCTGATTGGAGGCCGTTCAGACTGACAAGATGCGCCCTCAACAGCCATCACGGAAGACAGCTACCACCATCTGTGGATGCGAGATTCGTGAGATTCTGATACGACCACCGCATGCTTCCCATGCTCCGACCGCTTGTGATGGATAATCCCCACAATCCAGCAGACTCCATTGGTCGATTCTCTGTAACCGTGCACGCCGCCACTGCCGAGTTGTCTGGCTCCGTCTGACTCTGTTTATGATGTACGGGTGGTCTGGTTCGTTTGTGGCGACTCTGCTGAACCGTGCATATGTACAACACTGTGTGCCGCTTGTGGCACTGGGCGGCGGAGCGGCCGGATCGGCGGGGCTGGTATGGGGTCGGAGCGACATTCCAGACGTGTGCAGACCGCTCTCCGTTCGGGATGATGTGGACACTGCCAGGACTGGAGATAGTCAATTGATACAGAACAAGGCAAAGACTCTTTCACATCCATGGTAGCTACGTCGAGGCGCGCTGCATTGTGGTAAAAGTATGATGAAAAACATGACTCACACACATTTAGCTAAAAACATAGACCAGCGTGCATACTGCAAATACACATGGCACACTCGTTAAATATACACCCGCCATGGCAACCAGACAGCAACTAGCCAGCATCACAGCATACTATGTGTTCATTGACCTGTGCCATTGACTGACTTGTGTTCATTGACCTGTTTCCATTAATCCGTGACCATTGACCTGTGTCCATTGACCTGTGACCATTTGCCTGTGCCCATTGACCCGTGACCATTGACCTGTAACCATTGACCTGCGACATTGTCCTGGTGACCCTCAGGCGCTGCTGGAGCGGCAGCTGTCGGTAAAGTCGTCCTGCGACTATGAGCTCGACTCCGATCAGCTGCAGAATGTCCAGTGTGAGCAGACCTGGGAGCTCGAGCAGCCTACCGGCGACCGTGTCCAGGTGGTGGTCAGGTGAGTGGTCTAACCCTTCCCCCTCCCCCACCGGCGACCAGGTCCAGGTGGTGGTCAGGTGAGATGACCGATCCCCCCCTCCACCCCCTGAGATCATATCCGGGTGGTGGTCAGGTGAGGTGACCTATCCTCCACTGTAGCTGTTGGAATGGACGCGTGTCTGCCGGGACAGCCGACCTCAGATAGAGGGCTCGGGACGCTGCTGGTAGCTTATTTGATGAATTGTTTGTGTAAAAGTTGGTGCTGTTCTGGCCATGAGTTGTGGCCGGCGCTTGTGTGTTCGATGTTTTTATAGCTGTAGGATGGCGCGGATTGAGGCCTCTTTTGTCCACTTATGATCATTATTTAAACTAAGTGCCTCAGCTACTGCTCATAAATAGAATCCAACTTTGCCGAAAGGATATGCATTGTGTTCATGGAAAACAGTTTGATGTCGGCTATTCAAAACCAGTCGGGTTTTGCATAGCTCCAGCAGTCGGTATGAAATGGAAATTAAATATATGACAAACCTAACCATGTGGCTCCGAGTCGCCCAAATGTGAGCTTTGTTCTGCGTGCATGGTTTTCAACGTTTGCGTTGATCTATCGGCTTCATCAATTACCCTTGGCCCGCATACGGCTCAGACGATAACGCGATAGAGCAGAAACCCAACATATTTTCACATTCCCCTGCATCAGCTATCCACAATTCACGGTCTTGCACAATTTGATCGTTGTGTGCCTGCTTTCCTGACACTCAGATTCACCAACCTTCGTTTGTTTGATCTTTCTCCGCCTGTATTCCGTGTTCCTTCCACCTCTAACACCGTCCGTTTAACCGGTGCCCGTGTCCCTGCAGGCAGGACCTGCGGCTCTCCTTGTCTCGCGCCGCGCAGAGTGCACTGCCCCAGAACAGCCGCGAGGCGCCGGCCGGGCTGGAGATGCGCGACTCGGACGCCTTCATCGACCTGGGACATGGCTCGGGTGAGTGGCGGCGCCGAGCAGTACCGGGGGAGCTACTGCCGTGATTGTAATTCCCCTAACTGCTGCGGTACTGACTGGCTACTCTACACTCTGTCCGGCCCGTCCCCCACCGGCGCCAGCTATCTGTAACTCGCCGTGCCGGCCATGCCGTCCGGTACCGTCACGTGACGCCCTGCACGGCTGCACGTGGCGTGTGACGCTCCGGTGTAACATTGGAGGATGCTCGTCACGGGGCACAGGATATACTGATAGATTCCTGGGGCTTAGACGTGTGTCTGAATTACAACGATTGAGGAAGTAGGAGAAGTAAATGATAAAAAAGTTAGCTGGATCCGGCCGTGGCGTTGGGTGACTAAATCACTCGATTGGTAGCGATGTGCTAAGCGAGGCGTGCTTAGCTCGTCGGTCTTAGTGGCCGCTAGCAGAGCTGCAATGTCGGGGTGATGGTAAATAGGGATGGTGTGCGAGCGATATGAGGCTCCGCGGCCGTCCTCAGTTGCCCCTCTTCAGCACCAGATATCAGTGTGATAGCATTATCAAACCACGTGTCGAGCTATCAGTGTAAGAGGGTCCGTCGCACGTGATCGTACTGAGTTCATCAACGACTAACAGCTGACAAACAGGCGCCTTCATCTAGCATGTGACGCTCAGGTCGACATGGCTGAAGGGGGTGGTGGAATGAAGGCTGATTGTCATGCTCGCTGGATGTACCAGTGGTGTACGGCCCTCCAGGTATTAAGTGGTTTGTTGCCAACATCACAAGATCTGAATGGATAAATACGTCTAATGGCTGTTGATAACTATTGCTGAAGTGTGAACACGAACCCTCTTCTCATTTCTATTGAGTCATTTTACAGGAGTGTCTCTGTCATTCAAAGTTATTACACCAAAAGCACATAGGCTAACCAACCACTCTTTTGCTGGAGGGCCGTACCTAAGGATGTGCCAGTGATGTGTGCAGTCATTTACACATGCTGACAGAATTTGATTCTGGGGGTTACTATGTACACGACCGTTACTACATGCTACATCGTGGCCGTATGTCTGGATGAAATACGGGTAGGACGAAATACTGTTATTCGAATTACCTAAATTTTAAGGTATGCTCGAATTGGGTAACTTGATCCAAATAAATTCCACTGAATGATGACGCTTGTAATAAAGTGTCCTTAGCGCCTTCATTCTGTGCTGAGGCCTCTTGCACCAAAATCCTCTTGCATCAATGCTTGGATTATTTTGCATCGTATACCCAGTCCAAGTCTCAAATGTAACAATTTGCGTGCAAAATTTAGCAAGCACATGCAGGATTATGTATTGGGCTATTGCAAATAAATTTACCACCGTTAGATTAGCTTATTCTGAAACCGGTTTTTCGATTTTACCTAGCTAGGTAGTTTGGTGCAAGAGGCCTCTGGTCAGTAGTACACCAACGCCCCCTGAACAATCATCTGTTTCGGCACGACTCTGAATGCTCGACCCCTGCCTGTGTGTTCGCAGTATGCTACAGACAGTATCTGACCCATCCTTTGTCTGCAGTGTTTGAGCGTCTGAGGGAGCTGGGAGCCGTCAGTGTCTCTCTGTCTGTATCTGACAGATCCCCTGTCTTTCTCCAGTGTTTGAGCGTCTCAGGGAACTGGGAGCCGTCAGTGTCCCTCTGTCTGCTGTATCTAACCAGTCCTCTGTCTCCAGTGTTTGAGCGTCTCAGGGCACTGGGAGCCGTCAGCGTCCTTCTGTGTTCTGTATCTGACCGATCCCCTGTCTTTCTCCAGTGTTTGAGCGTCTGAGGGAGCTGGGAGCCGTCAGTGTCCCTCTGATGACCCCCGAGACGCCGCACAAGTTCACCGCTCTGCTGCGCGCGCTCCGGAGAAAGTACGAGAATCCTCTGGAGATGGCCGCCAACTGCACCACCTGCTCCACTTTCGAGAAGGTGCGGTCTGGGAAAAGGGCTGCCACAAATGTTTGAGGAAAGGCTTCCATAGGAAAGGGCACGAGCTTGATTCAAAGTTATTTAAATCTTTCCCCTTTTTCCCTCTTGCGGCGTGGCATTTCCCTTTTGTGTGTTTAATGGTCTCGTCTGAAAATCGGTCTTAACAATCGTTTCAAGTGCTTTGTGTCATTCCGTTCATGCCAGTGTTCACCGGTGTTCACACCAGCGCCCTCCCCTCGCTCCGCTGCAGGGTATGATGTCGGAGCTGTCGCGGACGGCAGTACTCCAGTGCGGCTCGGCGCCCTGTCTCCGTCAGGTAGCTGACATGGTCCGAGAGGAGCAGCTGACCGGCGCTCGGCTCACGCCGCTCTACCTCTCCTGGCACTGGACGCCGGTAAGGACGCCAGGGACTGACACTGTGACGCACAGGAGAGCAGCAGCAGCTATGACACCTCCTGGCTGAGTAGAGAACCAGGTTTATGGACGTCTTTCTGACTTTGTGTAGACGCAGCTGAGTTTTTCTTTCTTTCTTTTTTTGAACGACTTCAAGTCGTTTTAGGAACAACTTGTCATTATGATGGCACATTGTATGTCGCCTGCGACTGCCTCTTGTAGAATATGGCTCAGCTTTCCTGAGTTGTGTATTCATTCACTTCCTGCATTGCGTTTGTTCCTCAACACTCTACAGTCTACAGTCCTCCCTCAGCTCTCGGACGCCGCTGCTCAACTCGCCTCTATGATCATTGTTCCTGGTCTTCATCCGCCGGATGACCCGTCATCCCTTGCCCTTCTCGTGCCCCTCCAACAGATCCGTGACCGTCCCCCGCCCTCGCCTCTCGTTCAGATCCGTGAGGAACCCCCTCGCCTCTCGGTCAGATCCGTGACCATGCCCCGCTTCGCTCCATCAGATCCGTGACCGTTCCCCACCCTCTCCGTCCACCAGATCCGTGACGCGGAGAGCGGCCACTCGATGTTCGAGTTGTGCGAGCTGGCGCCGACGCGCTGGTGCCTGCTGGGACTGGCGGCGGCGCTGCGCCGGAGTGCGGTACCCGGCGGCCCCAGTCTGGAGCGGGTGGCGGAGCGACTCAGGGACACGGCCGCGGAGATGATCGGACCCGACTGCCGCCGGCCCGACGGAGATGTCATCATGGCGCTGAAGGTGGGCAACGAGAACTGGGGAGGTGGGACGGGGAGGTGACTGGAAAATGAACGCGTTGAACATTTTAGTTGCTCGATTAAGTTTATTTACACGGCTTGTCGGTTCATGTCGTTTCCGATATTTTAAGAATACCTGAAAATGAAAAGATAATTGATTTTTGGTTGATTATAGTCGCTGGGTCTATCAGTCTAAATGAAGATCTTTAACCTCTTGTTTTTGAAGCTGACATATGTCCCTACCCCGGTCACGGTCAGACGCTGCGCAACATGGGCCCGTCGGCGCTGGACCACTTCCCGACGCTGAGTCTGGTGCGCTCCTGTGTGGCCGACGCCACGCGGCCGGTGATGGTGGCCACAGAGGCGGTGCGCACCCTCAGCGCCGCCCGGCTGCCGCCCAAGTTCGCGCGCCTGCTCCAGGTGGGTACCGGTGTGGGTGGGTGGGTGCGGGTGTGGACAGGAGGGCATGGATTTGGATATGATGTGTGGGTGGAAGGTCGGACTGACTGAGTTCGGGCGGGAATGGAGGGAGATCGGGCGAACTGATCCGTTTCGGAAGCTGCTGACAGCACCGGTCAGTTAAAAGTAGAAGTCCAACAAATTGTTGTCGATGCCTCCCATTGAAACTTTAGGGCTACGGCTCAACCTACCACAGTGGACTTATTGCCAAAGAAATCCCTTCGTTTACTGACCATCTGACCTCTCGGTTCCGCTCCGTTTCAGGACATATACCAGAGTGAGAAGCAGGCGCTGCTGACGCGCCAGCTGGCCTACCTGTCGCTGCTGCGTCAGTTCCCCTCGGAGCGCGAGTTCCGCGCCGCTCTGGTGTGGGCCAGCTCCAAGCGCTCGGACGCTATGCCCAGCTTCATCCTGCGCCACTGGAAGCAGTTCCCGCTGACGGACCCGCGCCGGCCGCTCACCCGCGCGCTGGCCCAGGAGCTCGGCGTCGACCTGGCCGCGGTGCCCGACTCGCTGTTCAACTCGGCCACGGCGTCCGTGGTGCGCGAGTTCCAGCTGGGTGATTGGCTGCGCGCGGTGCTGCCGGCGGTGGCTGAGCCGCAGGCGGGCCTGCAGCTGTGGCGGCTGCACGGCGCCTCTTTCCTGCCTCACCTGCTCTACCTCAACACCAGCCTGCAGCTGGGCGCCGGACCTGTGGCGCCCGTCGAGCTCGAGCTGCGCGCCGTCGACGTCGAGGGTCTGATCCACGACCTGGTCCGAGACCCCGAGTTCGACCCGACCAAGGTGCGCGGCATACTGCGCGAGGTGGCCACCGCGCTGCTGGGCGCCTTCGGCGGCCGCTACGGCGGCGCCAGCTTCGTGGCCTCTCTGGACGAGGTCGAGGCGCCGGAGCAGCTGCGGCTGTCGCCGGCTGTGGCTGAATGGCTGCGCGCCGCGCTACACTCTGTGCAGCGGCGGGCGGCGGCGCCGGCCGGCCGGCCCAGCGCCGTGCTGACGCTGAGCGTGGCCGGCAGTCAGGTGGCCTACCTGACCGCCGAGGAGGTGCTGCGCCGGCTGCAGACGCCCGAGCCGCCGCTCGAGCGGCTTCACCTGCTCGGGGAGAAACTGTTCCACAGCCACTCCGTGTTCAAGTTCCTCGAGGGACAGCACAGGGTAGGTGGATTGGAATCAGGAGGGTACTGGTAGGCTTGGAACGGGGGGGGGGGGGGAAGGAGACGACTTAACCGAGGGCACCACCAGTCTTCTGAGACCTTAGTTCGTAATCTTGTAAGCACTTTGCTCAGTTCTGGTGCGCCGTATTAATGTTCCAAGAACGATGTTCAGAGTTACTGGTCACTGTCGTCACTGTCCTATTCACCATCTCTGTCTGTCCTCTTACAGGTACCGCTGGCCGTTGGCCTCCCGCTGGAACTGTTTACCGACGGCACCGTGATGGCCGGAGCGGCGGCAGAGATCAGCAGTCGACTCGGAACCTCATTCAGAAATCTGACCGAGGTGTTTAACGGTGACGCCCAGCTCTCCGCCAGGTGAGTGTGGGACGCGACGGCAACTGTGCCGGTGGTAAATTACGACCGCCAGGAATGAATTTAACGATCAGCTACCTCATCTCTTGGTAGAACGTCGGCACCGTCAGGCATTCGGTTATTCATGTGTGTCCTAAGCTTGGATAAATCCGAGCGACTCGTTATGACTGAAACCACCTAAGACTGGTCCGTGCGTCATGTTCAGTTCCAGACCTGGTCGATTTGTTTGTGTTTTCCCCCACAGCCGTCATATAAGTAAATGCTGCCCGCCATGCAGTGCCTATGGCTGTCCGCTGACCGTCCCCCTCCGTCTCCAGCGCCGGTGTCAGCGTGGTGGCCGGCCTGAACGTCTCGCTGCCGCCGTTCGCCCCTGACTCTCCCCTCCCTTCCCGTCTCCAGCGCCGGTATCAGCGTGGTGGCCGGCCTGGACGTGTCGCTGCCGCCGTTCGCCCAAGCGCGGCTGCAGCTCAACTCGACTGTGTTCACGCCGTTCAGTCTGAACGTGTCGTACGCCATTCTGAACAGGACCATCCAGCTGACGGCGCCCAAACCGGCCCGGAAACGCACCCTGCTGCTGATCAGGTCAGTCATGAACAGAGTGGAACGGCACCTCAGGTCAGATCCATACCCAAACCGGCCCGGAAACGCACCCTGCTGCTGATCAGGTCAGTCGGATCTCAAAACACACCCTGCTCACTGCTCAGGTTTGTCTTGAACAGAGCGGAGAAATTACGGACGCTAGTCAGATCGGTGCCCAAACTGCACCATGCTACTGTTCAGGTCAGTCACGAACGGACCGGGACGTCGTAGGACGGTAGGTCAGCTAAGGGGCTGTTCGGGCGACTGACAAGCAATGTGCCATTGCATAGGCAGGGGGTGCATAGGGACCCCCTGAACCCATTTGCTATTATCGCTACATGCTGATAACCACACTGCACCTCTCGCGTCTCAGCAAGTCCTGCTCGGTGTATTCCAGTCCCGCCCTCCCGGTGTGTTTCAGTCCCGCCCTCCCGGTGTGTCTCAGCCCCGCCCTGACCCTGTCCCCGCCGTGTTCCAGTCACGGCGCCCAGGTACTGCGCGGCGGCGAGCTGCAGCCGTCTCCGTCCGCAGCCGTGCGCACCACGCGCTGCCTGCCGCAGGCCGACTTCACCGGGCTGACGGTGTGCCGCGAGGTGCGCGCCGCCGGCCGGCTCGGCTTCACAGCGCCGCTCAGCTACCACGTGACGGCCGAGAACACCGACCCCATCGACACGTACGTGCTGGACGTGTGGACGTCGGCCCGCCAGGACGGCTACGTGCACGGCGGCGAGGTGCACCTGTTCCTGCACCAGCCGGCCGCCGCCGCCGCCGACCTGCGTCTGCACGTCGGCTTCCGGCTGATGCCCATCAACTTCAACCCGGCGCTGTTCCACACGGGCCAGAAGGCCAACACCACCGTGGAGCTGGTGGTGGGGGACGAGGCCAGTCCCACGTGGCGTCTGTACTTGCTGCGCGCGCAGACGGAGCGGGACGACGTACTGTTCTCGGAGACCCGCGGCTCGCTCACCAACCGGGGCGTGACGCTGGTCAGCGCCGGCCTGGAGCAGCACCGCTCGCTGCCCTGGCTGCTGGGGCCGCGCCGCGACGAGCTGCTGCTGCGGCTGGCGGCCGCCGGAGACAGCGTGCAGTACGAGCGGCGGTACCGGGCCGCCCGGCAGACCGGCGGCGACGCCGACTTCTCGGCAGATCTCCGCTACAGCACCCAGCGGCGCGACTCGCTGGTCGAACGGCTGCTGGCGCCCGAGCTGTTCGATAGCGCCGCCCGCTCGGCCTGGCTCAAACTCAACTACACCCGGCGGCTGGCGGCCAACGATGAGTTGACGGAGCTGAACTGGAGCCACCGCGGCAGCGCAGCCACGGCCGGCGTCACGCTGGCCGGGCTGCTGGAGCTGACCTCAACGGCCGACAGCAGCGCGCGGCTGGTGGCCAACGTCAGCTCCCAGCGCACAGAGACTGGGGAGGTGCTGATGTACACCGCCGCCACGGCCGACTACAACAGGGACAGAGAGGTAGGTGTACTGACTACAACTACAACACTGAGACAGAGAGGTGGGTTGGTTAACGGCTACAGCCGGAACAGAGACGTAGGTCTGGTACCGACATACCTGATACTGGTGAAATATGTCACTTGTCGTTCTTGGGCGTAACGTTATTACTTCCCACGATATCCACTGCGGCAGTGCTGGCAGTCATATTACGTCGTCATTGGCGTTATAACACGTGCACCTTTGACACTGCTTTCCTGGTGTGTGTCCCCGCAGGGCGGCGCGGTGACAGACAGCCTGCAGACCTCTCTCAGCTACCCGGGCGCCGAGTTCTCGGGCCGGGCGCGCCTGGAGCGGCCGGCGGACGGGCCGCTGCAGGCGGAGGCCAGCGCGGCGCGCCGCGGCGGCTGGCAGAGCCGCCTGAGCGCCACCCTCTGGCCGCAGCGCCAGCTGACAGCCACCCTGGAACTGCCCGGAGAGCAGACGGTGACGCTGGACAGCGAGTTCGCCGCGCCGGCCCGGCCGCGGCCCTGGCTGCCTTGGTACAGGTGAGAGGAGAGAGCGCAGCTCCTGCAGAGGGAGGCCGGCGGGGGGGGGGGGAGGGGAGCGGAGGGCAGAGGACTGGTGGAGGGATTGGACGGGAGACTCCGTTGTTTGCTGTTTGATGTGCGACGTGTGGGTCATTGTGTAGCCTGCATTTAGCTCGTAACCAAACAGCGACGTCTTTTTTCACGGTGCCGCAAGCTGATAGTGTTATCAGGTTGCACAATGGCGACGGTCAAGCTCGCATCACAGCCGGTGCCCCCGCTCTCTGCTGCGCTGCATCGACCCACACCGCTCCGATAGTCGGCGTAATATCATTACCTGACCCAGTATCTCGCCAAATTATCTGCCTATTGGGCTCACATGACCTCACCTCACCCAGCTCACCGCCACTTTACCGAGGTCACCTTGTCAGTTGTCACTCATGACCGACTCACCAGCTCACCTCACCATATTTTCCCCACTCACCACCTGACGGCCTCACCGCGCTCCCCAGGGACGACTACTCTTTCATGCAGCGGTCTCGACTACACACCACCTGGCACGCGCTGGAGGTCAGCTCTCACACGGAGATCACTAACGACGCCGACCGCCTGCTGGTGGACGCGGCGCTGAACCTGTCACTGCCCGGGGTGGCCGCTCGCGTGCAGCTCGACTGGGACAAGCCGGGGCGCCTCTGGGACTCTGACGTCGCGCTGGATACGGCGCTGCTGCGACTCAACAGCAGCGTCACATCGCGGCGCAGTGAGTGACGCGGGACGGAGGGGGGGGGGGCTGCGGTGTGCCCGTGTTCGTGAATGAGGCTGTGCGTTTGCGATTTGTTATTCAGCGTGGAGTTTTTGCCGTCTGTTAGGGATTCCTTTTGAAATGTTCCATCACAGATGTGGTTTTCTCTTTGCCCGGGTTCTGATGTTATCTCTCCGTATTGTCCTGGATGCTGACCAGTCTTTCTTTCCCCCAGCGTCCTCTGGCGTCGGCATAGAGCGGAGTTTCACCCAGAGCTCTGAGTCACCGGCCTGGGACATTCTCGATCACAGCCTCGAAGGTACGTCCCGCCATCTGACCACGGTGGATCGTGGATGGAAGGTTACGCGTAATGGGGGCTCTTCGAGTGCCGCCGGCCAATTTTTGGGAAGCTGGAGTTGATGTTTCTTCTTTCGACGGTACTGATCGCTAGTAAAGTTGCTTGTAGTCTCATCAATAGCTGTATGTCTCTCGCTGGTGGTGTTTACATTCCATACCCGGCACCTTGATCAGCGCACGATATTTTTTTGTCCTGCTATATTACAATGTTGACATTTTGATCAGTTACCGTCATCTGCTCCCCATCTCCTTCAGGCACGGTGCTGACCGACTGCTATAACTGCTCGGAGAGGCAGCGTGACTTCGACCTCAAGCTGGAGCACAAGTGGCTGAGCCTTCGCTCCACCTCTAGTAGACAATTCGGCGACGGTGGCGCCGCCGCCGGCAGACTGAGCAAACTCGACGTCGAGCTCACCAGGAAGGTAAGACGCGGCTTCACTTGTTCAACGTAAAACACGCGCATGATCGTGACTTGTAGTGCAAACAAAAGAACATTATTTTGTTGACAATGCATCCTAGTTTGTTTCGACTGATACGGAAACTATGTATGCAAAATATCTAACTGTGACGATCCGTCCGTGACACCCGTCCGTGGCCCGCCCGTGACGCCCTTCCCGCTCCCCCACAGGCGGACTTCCTGCCGTCGATGACGTGCCAGCTGAAGCCAGAGGGCGACTTCAGCATGGCGCTGACGCTGCCGGCCATGGGACCGCCGCCCAAGCTGGACGTGCGCTTCACTAAGGAGCCGCCCGGCAGGTGGAAAAAGGTAAGGCGGCCAGAGACACCCGCTGGCGGCGGGTGTCGTCATGGCTTTGCTCTCCTGCAGATATCGTGTCTGGAAATATGATGTTGCGCGGCTCGGCGGCGGACGCAAACTGGAGATGATTTTTGCTAATTTTCTGTTACTCGCGATGGTCCGTGACACTCCTTTGACGCCCATGCCCCTGTCCTGACTTGATAACTTCCCAGGTGTTGCCCATTGAGCTAACGCTCTAACACCCTTTTTTCTCCGCCGCCGCAGGTGTTCACTCATTGGTACGACGTTCTGACGCCTCCCCCCCTCTCCGCAGGTGTTTACCCACTCCCTGGAGGTGGATGTGACGGACGGTCCGCGCGGCCGGCCCATGCCCGCCCTCCGTGTGGCCGTGGAGACCACGCCGGGCGACCCGACCCGGCTAGCCGCCGAGCTGGAGGTGCAGCCGTCCCTGTGGCTCATGGTGGGTCAGTCGGCGGCCGGCCGGCTGCAGCTAGCCGCCCAGCAGGCCGCCCAGGCCGCCATGGACCCCAGTCTGCCCGTCAACCGACTGCTGGAACCGCTCACCGGGCAGGACACGCTGGTCGACTGGCTGAAAACAGTGCCGCACAGGGTGAGTTAGAGTGAGACGCAGGGAGAGTTATAGTCCAACACAGTAAGTTAGGGTCCGACACAGGATGGATAAGGGGTTTCGCACAGTGCGGTTGTCAGGGGTCTAACACATAAAACAAAGAGGAGACGCTGCAGCCTGTCTGACTGGCCGAGGTTCTTTGTTTTCTAACACGTCTGTAGCCTGATGTCGCCACGTGTCCTCTGGTATTTCACACGCCAACGACACTTATTTAGCCGGATGATAGACAAGGACTGTAGGAGAGCGATGGGTAGATAAGGATGGTGAGGAAGACGCCAGCCGCTGCCCGATTCCAGCCTCTCGATGGCGAGACCACTGTAATCGGACAGATCAACCGATACTCCGGCGCCTCGGTGGCAAGGTTAGCCGGAGCCGACTGGTCGCACCCCTGTCTGAGCGGAGACCCCGCACCCGAGCCTCGATGGCAAGACCCGGGGAACGAGTTTAAGCTCAGTGACTCGATGGCGAGACACTGTGGCCGCCTCCCTCACACACCCCGGAAAAGGCCGTGTTATGAGTCCCGGATGAAAGGAAATGATCGGCTACTCGCACGCTATGAAGACTCGCTGCTGTTCACTGTCCCGTCCCCTTTTCCACTGGTCCAGCTCCTCTCCACACCAGTTAAGATATTTTCACTTGCTGTATTGTGCACCACCACCACCACACCACAGCCAGAGCACCACTTCCACCCACACAGCGAGCACTTCCCCGCCGAGCATCCAGAACGAACTGGCCCTCGAGCCCCGTGCGCCGACCTGAGGTCACCTCGCCGGCGCCCCGAGGGCAGGAGCCCACACAACCAATCACGCGGCCGCTTACAATGAGCTAGCTCAGTGCCGGCATAGCCCCGAGCGCCACGTGGTCGGCCGGCCGCCACATGGCCCGCTCGGAGGTCCGGGCGGCCCGGCCTGCAGCCGCCGGTGCTAACACCTGATTCTCTCGCCCGCTCTGACCCATCTTCTCCCGTCGCCGACAGCTGCTGGAGGCCGGCGGCTGGCTGGTGAGCCGCGCCGCGGCGCTCCTCTCGCCCTGGCGCTCGGTGGTCGCTCCCGTGTACCAGACGGCGCGGAACATCGTCTACGCCACCGTGAGCTACGTGCGAGAGCTGACGGCCGGACTTCGCCAGACGGCCGGCGGTGAGTGAGAGCCGCGGTCAGACACCGGCGCTGGCCTGAGCCGCAGCTGTCAGCGCAGAGCCGGAGTGCCGCTGCCGAGCACAGCCGCTAGCTTAGCACGCAGCTGACACGGCCTAGACGCGAGCACCTCTCACTCTCGCTCTGTGTTTTAGTTGGCACCAGCGTGCTTAGTTTAGTTTAATTTTCTCATTGTTGCTTTGTTTTGTAGTTGCGCTGTGGTTTTGCTTTGTAGGATAATAATATCGTTTCATTTGTTTTATTTGAGAAACTGGTGTGGATTTTCTGTCGCTTGTTTGTTCTTACCTCTCTGTTTCTACCGTTTTTAGCTATCCATCTACCACTAACGCCGATGAGCTTTGACGCCTACGCTTTCCTCAGTTTATAATTACCTGACGCCGTCTGCAATTTTAAAGTCCCAGCCGTCACCCACTCATTCCCTGCTAAGTGCTGCTCCGACCTATTCTGCATGATATGTTCTGTTTCCCTGTCCTCACAAGGCACATGCTTTCTTGTATGAGCTATTATATTTAGTTCGTAATTGATAAGGTTTTTGTTAGTTAGATTCACCTTTAATCCAATGTGCACTGTGCAGCTGCTAACTTTGCTCTGGTGGAGGGCTGGAGGCACCTCGTCCCGCACTGCCAGTACCCTCACAGCCGTGTCTCTATGGTACCGGTACGCCCCCTGTCTCTATAGTCTGTACCCCTCCTACTTTCCCCTGCGCATGCTCCGACCGCTCCGGACCGGACTGCGGACGCCCCACCGCCTGCCTTCCCGCCGCGCTTTAACTATCCCCCTCTCTTCACCTGGCTTGCAGAGATTTACAGGCAGGGAGCGGAGAAGGTCGCTCAGGGGCCCAGTCTCAAAGGTAAGACGGCAGCTCCAGACGCTCGCTCATACTGTTACTCTGTGGTGGTGGGGTGGAGGTGTAAAAATGATACTTTGACTCTGGTGATGGGGTGAAGGTGGTGGTGGTGGTTAAATCAGGTGGTGGTTAAATTAGGGTCGTGTCAAGACGGTTGATGTCTCGTATGAACCTTAGCAAATGATAACATGATATCGTTTTATAACCCGGCGTGTATTTCATGCCAGGTATTATTAGCTCGACATAATAACTTTTCGCAAGCATGTTTTTCAATGCTTAGTGAGCTTGTATCGCACTGCATATTTAAATAATTTAATAATACATCTAACGGTCTTCCGACAACTACATTTATACTTCAGCTGGTAGTCCATACTCGATCCAACCCTTATTTATCGAATTAGCCATTTTGGTCTTGCGATCAAGTTCTTTGTGGCATGATCATAACTTGATCACTAATCAATTGTCACCTGCTTGCCGTCTGCGGTGCCTTAATATGACTGCAGCTACAGAAGTTGTCGACTCGCTCTACTGAAATGCACGCGATCATTTATGCCTCATTAACTGACGATGTTTTGTCGCTGTGCTCTTTTTTACGATTAATTATTTTTCATCTCACGAATCTCTTTGTTCGAAATTTTCGACCTTTAACAGTTTTGTTTGGTCAATAAACCGGCTTGGTTTTAGTTTTACACTCTTTTATATTTATTTTTCATTGCTTGACAGCTGAGTAACAAATATACAGTCGCCATATCAGTATATATTGTTCTTCCGATACTCCTTTTCGAGAGCTTTCAGGCCTGACATGATATGTTTATCGAAACGTCAGGGTTCTGTATGTCTTGACCTCCCGCGTTCATCAGTTGATGCGTGCTCTGTCCTTTTATATGACTTGACCCCATGTGCACAGCCCTCACAGCATTTAGTGGCTGGTCAGTCGATGTGTTTTGAGGATAATAATTTGGAATGACACAGACACTCCAGCAAAATGACTTAATATGAAAAGAGGCTTCGTGCGGATACTTCAGCAATGTTTGTCAACAGCCTATAGGCGTATTCATCAACGCTGATCGATTATTGTGATGTAGGCAACCAATTACTACTTAATGCTGCAAGGGCTGTACGTCGGGACGCACCCTGGATCTGTGGACCCAGCCTGACCCAATCTGACCTGTATGTCAGAGCCGGCGCTGAGCCTGTGACACACACACCTGTGTGTTTGTCAGAGCGCTGAGCTTACTGGCACCGGTACCGACCTATGACCTGTGACCTGACCTGACCTGACTCTGTGTGTGTGTCAGAGCGGGCGCTGAGCCTGCTGCCGCCGGAGCTGATGGGCCAGTTGATGCAGAAGCTCAACCAGCTGATGTCGACGGCGCTGCAGCGGCTGCCGTTCAAGTTTGAGCGCAGCGTGCGCGGCGGCCGGACCCGCGTGGAGCTCACAGAGCTGCCCGACTACGCTAATGTCGAGGTGAGGTATAAGCGGAGCTGCTGAAGTGGTGTAGGTAGGCGGTAAAAGCCATGTGGAACTCATGTGAGTTGCTTAGCGGCTGGGGATGAGATGCTGTCATTGTCTGATCATAGTCGGTGAATTCCTGTCATTCCTATCATCATTGTTTTCACCTGAGTTATTTCGTTTCGCCCGCTGATTTTATGAAGCAATCTCATGGTTGTTTGTCTTTAGCTTGTAATTTTAAATTTTGTGTATCCGATCATAATTGTCCCTAGTACGTCCAACTTTAAAATCTCACTAGTCGTCAAAAATATATCCCAGACACCTCCTTGCTTAAAATGAAATTTCATATTGCCTCTCCGCTAATTTTAACTTGTGTCCCCGCTCACCGCTCCGTACCTCCTCTCTGACTCCTGTCTCTATTGACCTCCTACAGACCATCTGGAACCTGAGCTCGGTGTTGCGCGAGCGGCTCCGGCAGCCGTCGGTGCTCTCTGAGATGACGGCGCGGCCCGACGACCGCCGGCCACTGGCCGCCCTCTGGCGCGACGGCCGCGCACTGGCGCTCGACGGACGATCCTTCATGCTGCCCGGTCAGTGCGCGCTGGATGTGTGTGTGTGTGGGGGGGGGGGAGGGTCATGGCCCTGGCGCTCGACGGACGCTCCTTCATGCTGCCTGGTCAGTGCACGCTGCGGGGTCGTCATTGGTGGGGTGAGGGGATGGGTGAACGGGGTCGATTGGGTAGCTGAGATGAGCTCAGCAGATACTGGCACTGGGTGTCAAGGTGCTGGCTCAGCTAGTAAATAATGGCGCCTGCTTGAATGTTTTGTCTGTGGCATATTGATGTTCATGATTGTCAGGTGACCGTCGGGTGGCTCGACTTTCCTGGACGAGTTCACGCTTTTCGATTGTTCTATCAAACTAGCTAACACTGACTCAACAAATCACTTACTGAGAATACTGAATATATAACTTTTACTTTTAACTTGCCAGTCGGTGGGTACATTAAAACTATCATATCGGACGTCATATCCCGGGTTTTCTCCTCACAGTACTGACTACTGTTCCGTGTACAATCGTCACTGATGGAATACTCACCGCGCCTCTCCTCTGACCCCACCCCCCACCCCCCACCCCGTCCCTCCCGTCCGCAGCGCTGCCCGGCTGCGCGCAGCTGCTGCTGGCAGACGTCGAGCAGCGCGGCTTTTCCGTGATGCGCTCCGGCCGCCAGCTGACCGTCACCTTCCTCGACTGTAACCTGATGGTCAACGAGCGGGGCCAGGCGCACGTGCAGCGGTTTAACGTCAGCCTGCCACGGTTTCTGTGAGTGCCGCACGCGAGCTGTTGTTGTTTCTGTCGCTGTCGATTCCCCTTGGCTCCGGTTCACCGTAGTCATACTGAGGCTAACTGGTATGATAGGACAGTGGCTGAGATGGTCTCGGGATAGTGGCTGCTGTAGGAATCTTTTTTATTTTTTGCCTGTTGGTGTTTTCTTATTTTGCGTCAATAATTCGAACACCGTATTGGTATTCGTTCGACGTTCAATGATTCTGAAAACTTTGTCAAAAGCTTTTTTGTTTCTTAGCTGCTTTTTGCAATAAACATTGCTTCTAAAGGTAGCGTGTTCAGAATTGCTCTTTCCTTAGCAAGCTCAAAGTGCGTTTGCTGTGCATCTCCGTCTCTCTGACCACTCCCCCCCCCCCCCTCCGCTGTCAGACGGACCGAGGTGACGACCTCGCCGGGCCGGCTGGTGGCCCGCTCCAAGTTCGGAGTGCAGGTGGAGCTGGACCTCGGCTGTGGCGTGCTGCTGCTCCGACTGGACCCGTGGATGGCACCGCGCACCGGTGGACTCCTGGCCGAGAGAGGTGAGAGAGGGAAGGGAGGGAGGGAGACTGGACCCGTGGATGGCGCCGCGCACCGATGTGGAATACTGGCCGAAAGAGGTACGCCCGTTGTGCATTGGTCGTAGGGGCGTGCGACTGATCGATGGGTTAGAGTATTTGTTAATTGCTTTTATATCTTATAGACTGTGCAGTGTGCAGTGTGCAAATAAAGAAGAGGTTTGGACATAACGTAAGCATATGTGAATATTCTCGGTAGTATTGCTAGGACAGCTGATAGCTGATTTGAAGGGTAACCTACAGCGGTTTACCTGCCTCTTCCCTGATGGCGCACAGGCTCAACACTTTAAGCAGTACATCTGGTCCCGTTTATCCTCGCTACCATCTCGGTCTGAACCCCCCCCCCCCTTCCCGTCCATCTGCAGCGGGTAACGGGTCGGAGTCCAGCGGCGCGTCCTACGCGTACGGCGAGCACTGCGATCGGCCAGCGCCGTCTGCCGCTGCGGCCGGCCCGGCACTCGACATTGACAGCTGCGGCCGACTGGCCACACCCGAGTGCAGTCGGCTGACGGGTCTGGAGCGGGCGGCGCGCCAGCACCAGCCTCTCTGCGGTGAGATGGCGCGCGAGCCACCGGCACGGAGGGATTGTCCTGTGTGCACAGGGATCGTGATGGATTATTGCACGGCATATAGATAAAAATGTTGGCACACCCTGTACAGGATATGGTCTCAGTTGTTTTATTTTTCGGCGGTTATCTGATCCCGTGAGTGAATTCATAAACACAGAAACGTGATTCCATCGTCATAAGCATACAATCGCTTGCGGCTGGCAGTTTGTTTCTCAGGGATCTAACATTCTTTGGCCGATGTCTTGCTATCATTGTCACTGGTGTCCTGTGCATTGATCGATTCATATGTAAGCGGTGCTGCAAAATACCAGTCGCATTCACTCCATACCCACCCCGTTTTCACGCCGCCGCCTGCTCTCCTCCGGCAGCCTCTCCGTCGCCGGTGGCGATGCTGCTGTGGCGCGCCGACCCGCTGGCCAGCTCGGAGCCCGTGCACGTGCTGCTGGCCGTGGCCGACCCCGCTGTCGGCGAGGAGACGCTCCGTTCGGTGACGGGCGCGCTGGAGCGACACCTGACGCAGCTGGGACAGAGGCGCGTCCGGTACGCGCTGGTCACCGACGCAGCCGACGCGGCCCGGTAAGAGACGGTGAAGGGTAGGGTGACCGCGGTTGGATGAGTGGGTATTCATATAGAGTGGGCTAGTGTTACGAATATTCACAGAGCGACTTAGCTATACATCTACCGTTTTCCTGTTCAGCTTGAAAATATTACCCACTGGATTAAATATTAACCGCTGTACATGCTTTGAGTTAGGACTGGCTGCAGCCTATCCAGTGCATTTACCGCTGTTATCCCCGGTTCGTACCTTCACCTCGCCAGGACCGTGTCTCCCCTCCCCATCGTCCTGCTCTGTGCCTCCGCTGTGTGCCGCTATCTCACCCGTGACCCGTACCGCCGCCAGTCTCTCCTGGGTGGAGTCGCCGGCCATGTCTCCCTCTCTGGCTCTGTGCCGTCCCGCTGTAGCTCACCGCTGACCCGTACCGCCGCCAGTCTCTCCTGGGTGGAGTCGCCGGCCATGTCTCCCTCTCTGGCTCTGTGCCGTCCCGCTGTAGCTCACCGCTGACCCGCACCGCCGCCAGTCTCTCCTGGGTGGAGTCGCCGGCCATGTCTCCCTCTCTGGCTCTGTGCCGTTTCGCTGTAGCTCACCGCTGACCCGTACCGCCGCCAGTCTCTCCTGGGTGGAGTCGCCGGCCATGTCTCCCTCTCTGGCTCTGTGCCGTTTCGCTGTAGCTCACCGCTGACCCGTACCGCCGCCAGTCTCTCTTGGGTGGAGTCGCCGGCCGAGCTGCAGCTGGAGGGCAATAAACTGCGCTCCGAGGACCTGGTGGCCACGCTGCACCGGCTAATGACGGCCCGACCGTTCCCCCGACAGCCGGCGCACCGCGTGCTCGTCGTCTTCGCACCCAGTGATGAGGTGAGGCACAGCCCACCGACTTACAATGCACACAGGCTTTATTACGTCGGTCGTGTGCTTAAGGTATTAATCACTTGTATGCCTCTCGACGTCTATATATTTGCTTTTTTGCTGCGGTGCTCCATGTTTCATGTTGTGCTCCGATGGTCAGGTACTTCTAATGTGCGATGTTTCGGGGGTTTTGCTGGTTTCGGCACATCTGTGTGGCTGTTCTGCATATTGTACGCTCTCGCTATGTGCTTCATCTAATCTGTGGGCTGTACCGTCTAGCCCGCTCCGTCTCTGTGATTGTGCTGGTCGCTGGTTGTCCCGTTTAACCCGCTCCGTGTGTGGCTGTCCAGGTGCGCGGCGGCGCGGCGCTGACGGGTCTGCGGCGCCAGCTGTGGAGCAGCCGCGTCTCCGTCCACCTGGTGACGCCCCTGGCGCAGTACCCCCTGCTGGAGACGCCCCTGCACGGCCTGAGGCCGAGCGGCGAGGTGGTGACGGCCAACAGCCGGCAGAGGCTCACCCTGCCGCCGCACCAGGTCAGACAGGGGCTCACTCTGCCGGGTCAGACAGGGGTTCACACTGCCGCCGCACCAGGTCAGACAGGGGCTCACCCTGCCGCCGCACCAGGTCAGACAGGGGTGACACTGCCAGGTCAGACAGGGGCTCACACTGGACGGGGTGTCACACTGCCAGGTCAGACAGGGGCTCACTCTGCCGGGGTGTCGCACGGCCAGGTGAGACAGGGGCCTACACTGCCGCCGCACCAGGTTAGACAGGGGTGTTACACTGCCGGGTCAGACGGGGGTGTCATGTCTTGTTGAGCGTGCTTCCGCTGCTTCAGCTAGGAAGACATGAGTTAAATTCATGTTCCAAGTGAAATTTTATCGCGTCGCGATGGCTATTGATTAGGGTTTCTGGAATACGTACTAGTACCTGAATACTGAATGCACTAGTCTGATACCGCGTACGTTCAAACTTCTAACGGTCTAACATCATTATGATTACACACGCTTGCGATTATCATTTTCATCGATGAAGATAGGTTAAAACGACACAGAATTCACGAAAGATATAAGCTACCGTGGCCTGTCTTTTGGTCTGTTTGCGTGCTACACGATCATAACTATTTTAATCTCAGCTTTGTGCGGTGTCGAGCAGCAACAGTGACTCAGGGAATACGTTTGGAGACCTCCGTTACGCTGTGACCTCTCTGTAATCCCTCTGTGACCTTCCTGCGACCTCCGTGACACGTGCTAGTGTGACCTTTGTCCCTTGTGCGGCCGTGTGACCTCCTTGTGACCCACTGTGACCCTTGTGACCTCCCTGTGACCCCCTGCGACCCATGTGACTCTCGTTACCCTTGTGACCTCCCTGTGACCGCTCTGCGTCTGTGTACCGTCAGGGTGACCTGGGTCAGCTGTCGGCCGACTCGTCGGGCGTCGTGTGGGACACGGCGCTGCTCCGGGCCGACGGCGCCGTCACCCCCGACCTGATGGCCGACGCCGTCTGGCAACAGGTGGCCAGATCGGTCAGTGCAATATAGGGGTCAATAATAGCAGTCACCGGCTAGTAGAGAAGCCAAAAATAACTATAGTTCGTTTTTTTTTCAAAAGGTCGCTGGCTCCAAGTATGTTTTTCGAACAAGCACGTGTTTTAGCGAGCAAAACGGGCAAAAACTGAACCTGAGAAACTCGACGGTCGCCTTATTTTAGCATGTGAATTTTTCCCGATAAATTCCATGTCTGCGTTTTGGAACTAGACATGAGAACAGTCTGGTGACATCATGCTGTGGAACTTGCATTGCCATGCAACGCATAACTATCATGGAGAGAATCGATTACTCGATTCGGGCCTCGGTAAGAGCAAAAAATGAAGTGTTCCCAAAATTCGTTGGCAATGAATGCTTTCGTAAGGACGTTGGGTGCCAGCTGCCACCAGTGACGTCATCATAGTATGCTCATTTTTGAAGTCACAATTTCTATGTATTTACCGAGCACAATTTGAAATCGATCATTTTTTTTCGGCAAGAAATTCTTAGGCAGACGCTGAAGTTGCCAAAACTCACGTGAGAGCTTCGATAATGAACTTTGAGCCAACGTCCTTTTGAAAAAAAAAAACGAACTATACAAACACTTATAAACCTCACACCAACTATTCTTGCTGTTCTGGGGATGGTAAAATATGCACTCAGCCCTAAGACGTGCATTTGGATTGTGAAATTTGATATACATTTGATTAGTATGATTTTCATTGGACATATGCTGCTGTGTTTAGTTTAATGTTTTATGTCGATGTCCACGGATGTCAATGACCTGCGAAAAGTGTTGTTCATTTGCTGCCATTTTTGTTTAGTAAGGCCGTCCCGCGTATACTGACGCTCCGCCACCTGCCCTCGCCAGGAGCCGGGCCCGCCGCTGCCGGGTCCTGCCGAGGCCGAGCGGGCGTCCCAGTCGGTCGGGTCGGCGGCGCCGCGCCCGGGGCCGGCCCGGTGGTCGGTACTGGCGGCGCTCTGCCTGCTGCCGCTGCGGCTGCTGCTGGCGGTACAGTGATCTCCGACCGTCAGGCGCCGCGGGGGTGACGGTGAGGCGACAGCAGGCCGCCAGGCCAGTCACTGTGCGGGGAGCAGTCACCGGCGGCCGCCCCCGGGTTACTGTGCGGGGGAGTGTCACTGCAGACCGTCCCCGGTCACTGCGGGGCAGTGTCGAATCCGTTCCCGGTCACTGCGAGGCCTGGCCTGGTCACTGCGGGCCGGCGCTCCGGAGCGGCGGCGGGCTGCCGAACGGCCGCTCCAGGGGTCTAGCTGGGAGGGTAGGTGTTTTATATGGTGTCATCGTTACCTCGCTCTTATTGACCGAACTGGAACTTTGCGGGAGGAGCAGATTGGCGTGTCGTGGTGTGGATCCTGAGCAGTTATGGTTGAATACTGGTGGGAAAAGCGTGCGAGAACAGCACGCAGCGAGGGATGGGATAGACTCTAATTTTGAAATGTCTGTCGCTTGTGTCTCCCAGTATTGAATCGAAACTTCACACGAAGTTCAAGCTGCGCTGATAAGTCGCCTCAGACTGGGGCTGTAGCTGGGGCGGTGCTAGTATTTGTCGTATATTCCGGGACAGCTGGTATGGGGCAGTGTCGAGCGATTTATTTCGCTTTACACATGACAGTTATCTAAGTCACATTGGCCGTTATTTTCCTATGAGTGTTGACCAGCACACAGTACGAGTGCACTGCATTATGACTATTTGTGGCTGCTAGGGTGTGCGCCACAGAAGCTGCTGGGGATTATTCTGATAAGCGTCGGTGTCTCTGCGTATTTTCGTACTCTGGTTTAGCTTAGCTCGTCTGGTGTTAAGTGATTGTAGGCATTTTGGTGGGGATGGTAGCTTCAGTCCGGGTCGACTGTAGCTGCCGGATATGCTGCACAACAGATCGTCTGATATTCATTATTCCATCCAAACATGTGGGGGACAACTCGATCTTGTATATTCCGTTATCCATTTGTATTATCTGCAAGCAGCATTCATTCAACCACCTTGAGGGCATGTCGAAGCCAAAGAGCAGTAGGGGGATGCGGCGGTTTCAGGACTATGTGAAATGTGATGATCGGGAAGCGGCATATTTTGCGGTCCGCTGTCTCAGTGGCGCTGTTGTAACCGAGGTGATTGGGGTGTGCCTTCGAAATTACCAGCCATTACGAGTATTAATGACATCGGGAGGGTTACCCAAGGTATCGACGGGCTAGATCGGAAAACTGGTATTGCTGGCATCCAGTCGGAGATGTGATAGTCACATTGGTGTTGTGGGTATTTCAGACAGTCACAGGGTTGTCGGAACTAATCACTCGTGCGTGCTCCGGTCGTCGAAGCGTACAAATGCTAACATAGTCCGGAATTAGTTGGCAAAGAACTTGTATTCGCACTTGTATCGCGCTAGGCATTGTTTGGTAACCTGCTGTCGCAGTTTACAGAAGCTGACTTTTGTATTCTACTTATGTTTGCACGTCGTCAATGAGACAGCTCCTCGAGTGATTGGTATAGAAGTGGGGTGTCGTGGCGCTGTGATCGATCACTGTACCGGTGGATGTGTGACAGTGTCTGTGAGGCGCTGCCAGTCGTGTGCCTGTGAGCTGAGTGTCTGTACGAGAGTCGGACGGTGGCGGCCGGCGCGCGGTGGCCCCGTGTCGAACTGTGCGCCGGCCGGCCACCGACCCCAGGCCAGTTTCCGTGTGTCGCCGTCAGTCGGCGAGCTGCTCGGTCCCGTACGACGCCGTACGGCCGTGTGTCGCCAGCTGCTCAGTACGACGCTGTACGGCCGTGTGTCGCCAGCTGCTCAGTACGGCCGTGTGTCGCCAGCTGCTCAGTACGACCGTGTGTCGCCAGCTGTTCAGTACGGCGCTGTACGGCCGTGTGTCCCCAGCTGCTTAGGACGGCGCTGTACGGCCGTGTGTCGCCAGCTGCTCAGTACGACCGTGTGGCGCCAGCTGCTTAGTACGGCGTCGTACGGCCGTGTGGCGCTGTACGGCCGTGTGTCGCCCGTGTGGCGCCAGCTGCTCAGTACGGCGCTGTACGGCCGTGTGTCGCCAGCTGCTCAGTACGGCGCTGTACGGCCGTGTGTCGCCAGCTGCTTAGGACGGCGCTGTACGGCCGTGTGTCGCCAGCTGCTCAGTACGACCGTGTGGCGCCAGCTGCTCAGTACGGCGTCGTACGGCCGTGTGGCGCTGTACGGCCGTGTGTCGCCCGTGTGGCGCCAGCTGCTCAGTACGGCGCTGTACGGCCGTGTGTCGCCAGCTGCTCAGTACGGCGCTGTACGGCCGTGTGTCGCCAGCTGCTCAGTACGGCGCTGTACGGCCGTGTGTCGCCAGCTGCTCAGTACGACCGTGTGCCGCCAGCTGCTCGGTACGGCGCTGTACGGCCGTGTGTCGCCAGCTGCTCAGTACAGCGCTGTACTGAGCAGCTGGCGAGCTGCTCAGTACAGCGCTGCTGTACTGCCGTCTGTACTGCCGTACTGCTGTGTGTCGCCAGCTGCTCAGTACGGCGCTGTACGGCCGTGTGTGGTGTGCTGTGTGCGAGTCAGGCGGCCGCGGCTCCGTGTCCGGTCCCACAAACATATCGCGCTGTACCTCGCTCGTTGGTGGACTGACCCGGCGGCGTCTGACGCCCCCGGCGGGTGCGGAGGCGGTCGGCTCGGGGTGCAGCCACGGGTCATGGCGGTGTCCCAGGTGATCCCAGGTGCCGTCTGCTGGGAGGATGGTGGGCAGATAATACATGTGCTCCGATACCGACAAATGTCTGTTACCGCGGCCGTTACGTAGCATGATTTCATTGAGAACCGTCATTCTTATCGTTTCCAATAAGAATGACGTCTAACACAAAAATAATCCTCCAAAATAATATTTTTTTGAAGCAGATTTGGTGAAAATATTTCGTGTTTGCTTGTTTCCTCGTTCTCTGGGTGTACTGGATTGACTTGAAATCTTCAGAATGCATCATCGTCGGCGAAAACGAAGCTTTGACCTATCGGTGGATTGAATATCATTACCCATCTTGTTTTAGAAACGGCTCGTTTTCCCTTAGTTACTGCAAAAAGTAAAAGATAAAGTGGAGAGTATTTTATCCAATGTCCCATTCGGAATTGGTTAGACAAAGGTAGCAGACTGGACAATTAACGATGGCTTGCTACCAGGGGTGCGGAGCCGGAGCCGGAGCCAGAGCCGGAACCGTGGAACAATATAGCAATTGATCGCATAGGGGATGTACTGAGTCGGAGCCGGACCATTTTACTCGGAGCCGGAGCCGCCATGACATTTCACCCGGAGCCGGAACCAGAACCGATTTTTTTTTCTCCGTAGCCGAAACCGTCTGAAATTTCCACGGCTCTGCATCCATGCTTGCTACGCTTCAATTTTTTTTTTTTAAGTAATCGTGCATATGACCCTTGACTGGCGAATGGAAAGCTTAGTTTAGCTCTCAATATAATGAACACTTTTCGGCAGGTAAAATTACATTATAAGGAATTAAGTGACAGTTTCGAGTGTTGATTATTTGTGTAAATTTCGGACATATTTAGACTAATGGCTGACTTGAACATTTTCGGAAGAAAAAAACAACGAAAATGCCGGACAATGGACGGATATTAGACATACCTACATTTTCTTAGACTGGCATCACTTATCTGCTAGGCTGGGGTCCACCGAGCAGCGCGACCTGTTGGGGGGCTTCATTGACTTCGGTCAAACCGTGCTAACTTCGGTTCCGTGCTAATACCAAGTCAGGTCACTGAGGATCACAAAATGAAAATATCATGTGATGCATGTTTTATGGTTTATTTTACATGCCAAATGCGATTATGTGGCTCAGGCAGCCTTCGGGACCAGTTAAGGTTATATTATAGAAATTAGACCTTTAACGACCTTGGTAATCCGACCTTTGACCTGAACTAGAAAACGTCTGAAGTACTTTCGTCATGTTTTTTTCCACGCTCTTTCGAATGCTGCTTACGGTGAGTTGCTACGTGGCCCGGTAGCCGAGTTATAGAGGGAGGGGTGTTTAAACACCCCCCTCTCTCTCTCTCTCTCTCTCTCTCTCTCTCTCTCTCTCTCTCTCTCTCTCTCTCTCTCTCCCGGCCCCGGCGCGGTTGGCGCCGAGCACCGTCCCTGCGCCGGTTAATGATATTGGCACTCCCAGGTCCTTCTTGCTCTAGATTATTTCTGCATCATTACTTATTGTCCAAGAAATTAGTTGGCTTCAGTTTCATAATGAAGGCTTTGAAATTTAGGTGTTTTTCATCGTCAAGATATGAGGCCGTCCCACTATGCCGTCCGACCATAGCTGAGAGACCGTCGCACAAGCTGTCCCACCACAGCTGTGAGACCGTCCCACAAGCTGTCCCACCATAGCTGAGATACCGTCCCACAAGCTGTCCCGCCATACCGTGAGACCGTCCCACAAGCTGTCCCACCATACCGTGAGACCGTCCCACAAGCTGTCTCACCATAGCTGAGAGACCGTCCCACAAGCTGTCCCACCATAGCTGAGAGACCGTCCCACAAGCTGTCCCACAGCTGAGAGACCGTCCCACAAGCTGTCCCACCATAGCCGAGAGACCGTCCCACAAGCTGTCCCACCATACCGTGATACCGTCCCACAAGCTGTCCCACAGCTGAGAGACCGTCCCACAAGCTGTCCCACCATAGCTGAGAGACCGTCCCACAAGCTGTCCCACAGCTGAGAGACCGTCCCACAAGCTGTCCCACAGCTGAGAGACCGTCCCACAAGCTGTCCCACCATAGCCGAGAGATCGTCCCACAAGCTGTCCCACCATACCGTGAGACCGTCCCACAAGCTGTCCCACCATACCGTGAGACCGTCCCACAAGCTGTCCCACCCCAGTAAACATGCCGACGTCGGCCCGACGTCGGGGTGACGTCGGCAACTCGGCATCGGCATGCCAACGTCGGCCCGACGTCGGTCCAACCTCGGCACGACGTCGGCTGGATGTCGGATATGCCCGCATGTTCCGACGTCCAGCCGAGGTCCAGCCGACGTCGGGCCGACGTCGGACCGAGATCAATTGCTGAGGTCTAGCAGACGTCGGGCGACGTCGGGGCGACGTCGGTCCGACATCGGCCGCTGTTTTGACCGTTAAAATAATATAAAATACATGTTTCATGTTTCATAAAGAGCTTCTGTATTCAAAATATCCTCAGGAAACTCAAATCTTCCTCCACGCCGCAACCCCCTGATCCGGACTGGACGGGAAACTTTATCCCATTTGGGATTGCCCGTAAGGCGAGCTCGCCCGTAGCCGGGTGCGGTGAGTGCTTGGGGGCTGCTCGGCCTATCCTTTGGTCAGGCTCAGCCCCGCAACTCACCAGGGCCGGGCCCAGTTCATATAGAAAGGCCAGTCGGCAAGTGTCACTTTGCCAAAGTGCCACTTATCAAAGGGACACTTTGGGCAACGTTGGTGCAGGTGTGTAAGAGTGGCTATATGAATCCATTGTGGGGTCGCCCTTTCCAATAAGTGTCACGTAACAGCAATGGGACCAGGGACTCTATATGAACTGGACCCAGGGTGCTCGCCAAGAAGACCAATGTCTCCATCCTATGACCCTTCCGGCTCTGAAATGGTCTTGTCAGACCGAAAGGTCATAAGCCAACAAAACAAACCTAGTTCGTTAGCTGGATGCGTGGTGTAGTGGTTAGCGCACTAGCCTTGCGTTCGAATGACACGGGGTTCGAATCCCATCGCCGGCTGATGCTTTTGGCGTGTTGTCCCAGTAAACATGCCGACGTCGGCGACTGGGGGGCTCGAATCCCGCCGCCGGTTGATATTTTTGGCGCGTTGTCCCAATAAACATGCCGACGTCAGCCCCGTCGGTCCAACGACAAACGATCTCGTCAACCTCGGCAAACGATCTCGGCCCGACGTCGGCTCGACGTCGGCTGGACTTCGGGTGGACGTCGGAACATGCGGGCATATCCGACGTCCAGCCGATGTCGGGCCGAGGCTGAACCGACGTTGGGCCGACGTCGGGCCGTGCCTCGGCCCGACGTCGGGCCGACGTCGTCATGTTTACTGGGACCATACCGTGAGACCGTCCCACAAGCTGTCCCACAGCTGAGAGACCGTCCCACAAGCTGTCCCACAGCTGAGAGACCGTCCCACAAGCTGTCCCACAGCTGAGAGACCGTCCCACAAGCTGTCCCACCATACCGTGAGACCGTCCCACAAGCTGTCTCACCATAGCTGAGAGACCGTCCCACAAGCTGTCCCACCATAGCTGAGAGACCGTCCCACAAGCTGTCCCACAGCTGAGAGACCGTCCCACAAGCTGTCTCACCATAGCTGAGAGACCGTCCCACAAGCTGTCCCACCATAGCTGAGAGACCGTCCCACAAGCTGTCCCACAGCTGAGAGACCGTCCCACAAGCTGTCCCACCATACCGTGAGACCGTCCCACAAGCTGTCCCACCATAGCCGAGAGACCGTCCCACAAGCTGTCCCACCATACCGTGAGACCGTCCCACAAGCTGTCCCACCATACCGTGAGACCGTCCCACAAACTGTCCCACCATACCGTGAGACCGTCCCACAAGCTGTCCCACAGCTGAGAGACCGTCCCACAAGCTGTCCCACAGCTGAGAGACCGTCCCACAAGCTGTCCCACAGCTGAGAGACCGTCCCACAAGCTGTCCCACCATACCGTGAGACCGTCCCACAAGCTGTCTCACCATAGCTGCGAGACCGTCCCACAGGCTGTCCCACCATAGCTGAGAGACCGTCCCACAAGCTGTCCCACAGCTGAGAGACCGTCCCACAAGCTGTCTCACCATAGCTGAGAGACTGTCCCACAAGCTGTCCCACCATAGCTGAGAGACCGTCTCACAAGCTGTCCCACAGCTGAGAGACCGTCCCACAAGCTGTCCCACCATACCGTGAGACCGTCCCACAAGCTGTCCCACCATAGCCGAGAGACCGTCCCACAAGCTGTCCCACCATACCGTGAGACCGTCCCACAAGCTGTCTCACCATAGCTGAGAGACCGTCCCACAAGCTGTCCCACCATAGCTGAGAGACCGTCCCACAAGCTGCCCCACAGCTGAGAGACCGTCCCACAAGCTGTCCCACCATAGCCGAGAGACCGTCCCACAAGCTGTCCCACCATAGCCGAGAGACCGTCCCACAAGCTTTCCCACCATAGCTGAGAGACCGTCCCACAAGCTGTCCCACAGCTGAGAGACCGTCCCACAAGCTGTCCCATCCCACCATAGCTGAGAGACCGTCCCACAAGCTGTCTCACCATAGCTGAGAGACCGTCCCACAAGCTGTCCCACCATAGCTGAGAGACCGTCCCACAAGCTGTCCCACAGCTGAGAGACCGTCCCACAAGCTTTCCCACCATAGCCGAGAGACCGTCCCACAAGCTGTCTCACCATAGCTGAGAGACCGTCCCACAAGCTGTCCCACCATACCGTGAGACCGTCCCACAAGCTGTCCCACAGCTGAGAGACCGTCCCACAAGCTGTCCCACCATACCGTGAGACCGTCCCACAAGCTGTCCCACCATAGCAGAGAGACCGTCCCACAAGCTGTCCCACCATAGCTGTGAGACCGTCCCACAAGCTGTCTCACCATAGCTGAGAGACCGTCCCACAAGCTGTCCCACCATAGCTGAGAGACCGTCCCACAAGCTGTCCCACAGCTGAGAGACCGTCCCACAAGCTGTCCCACCATACCGTGAGACCGTCCCACAAGCTGTCCCACCATAGCAGAGAGACCGTCCCACAAGCTGTCCCACCATAGCTGTGAGAC